ATTTTAATAACTAACTAGTAACTATGTTCTGTTCTGTTATGAAAGTTGGTTAATAAGCAGTAAAAACTTGGTGACGAATTATAAATACTGATTGAAAAGGGGAATAACAATTTAAGGATTCTGTAATTTATCAACAACAGCGGCACCGGCCTTAGTGCCAGCTCGACCCATCCGCCCCGCCAATACCAAAAAAACTGGTGCCGGGCAAAAGAGAAGCCTAACCAGTGACGCCGCCGTGCCACCGCCGCGGCACAGCTCAACAATCCTCAAGCTCAGTCGGCCTTGAAACCGCGCCCGGCAGAGGCTGCGCGGCTCGGCGGCGTGCTCGGGTCTGGCCGCGGCGTGGCGGGCGGGGAGAAGCTCATGCTGGCCCAGTGCGCGTTGTCACTCCAGCGCTCTTGCGGTTCAGTGGAGAGGAAGCCCAGATCAGCGCGGAAGGCGAGTAGGTCGTCGCAGGCAGTCTGGGTCGTCTTGAGGAAGGCGACTGAGTCGAAGGCGCAGAGGCGGCCGTGAAACGGGTCCTGCACGAAAAAAAAATCAAAAAAATCTTAGCGGACGCGGGGTGTGTGTGTGTGTGTGGTGTGGGAGGGGGGGGGGGCTGGCTCAGGCGCAAAGAAACAAACAACAAGCCAACAACAGATTGCTCGATGAGTCAGAAGAAGGGTCGCAGTACCCACTCCCAACCGCCAGCCAGAGTCTCCCTACATCAATATATCACTGATAGGGATTCAAGCTGACGTCTGACTGTCCTGAAAGTTGTGCTAGTCTGAACGCTGCGTCGCCCATTGCCTGCTATATATAGCGGCTCAGCATGGTTCAAAAGGTGGTGTTCACTCACAGATTTGGTAGACGTCAGATATTAGTCATGGCAGCAGGGGTGGTGGTAGAGGTGACGTTGGTGATGAACTCGTAGCAGATGCCACAGGCTCCCCCCCCCTACATCAAAAAAAAATGTTAACGCACCTGCAACGACGCGGCCGCGGATATGAGGCCACAGAAAATTACATTTGAATATTATAGCTCAAACCCTGCCCCATCTCTATTCCTACCTAATACCTGGGGCTGGTCCCCCCCCCCCTCCCCCCCAACACATACACACCCCGTCATATCTCCAACTAAAGTTGACACACCCGCATCGCCGCGGCTGCAAACTCCAAGGATCATCTAAAGGATAAAGGCAAACTTAATGGTACCTTGAAAAAGAATATGAAGTCTGTCTCCGGGATGGAGACAGACATCCTGCACTAGAATACCGAACGCCCACCACCTCGGCGATCACTGGCTGAGCTCGTCCACAAACTGGATTCGCCTGACTGCTGCTGCCTGTCTTCCTATTAAGTAAGTCGTAGTTTAAACGAAATACCGACCTCCCATACCCCTGCGCACCTGCATCGCCGCAGCCGCGGACATCAGGCCGTAGACAAACAGTATATATGTATTTATACAGATATGTTATCATGTGGGAGGGGGTGGGTGCGGAGTATCTGCGGGGATTTATAGAAATTTAGTAATTTACGCACCTGCATCGCCGCGGCTGCGGACATGAGGCCGTAGAAAAACGCGCAGAGCACCGCAGAGGCTGGCGCAGCGTACCTAAATAAATACAAAATAAAATACACGAATAAGATAAAATAAGACAAAATAGATATAATATAATATAAGCCTTGAAACACCGCTAGCCAGAACCCCCCTTCACTCATATAATCTAACAAAAGCGCGTTTTAATGCACACGAGGCTCATGTGCAAATAGATGCACTTTCACACACCTGCCATATGAGGCCGCAGAAAACCGCACAGAGGCTGGCGCGACATACCTTAAATTTTACCTTAAAAACTCGAAAAGTGGTTACTATTAGCAAGTTTATACATTTCTCTATCTTAT